TCGAGTTGGGAGCCCGTTCTGGCCGGGCAGTGCTACATGGCTTGGGACCTACCCCCTCCCCTCAGCTTGTGCAAATGCGAAGAGGGATCCCTGAGGGCATTTCTTTCTTCGTGGTTTTTTTCTCCCCCCTGCTTTTTTGGGGAGTTTTCTTGTTCTTTTTGTTTCTGTTTTTTTAAATTTGTTTTCTTTTCTTTTCCCTTTCTGTCTTTTTTCATTACTCAGTTTCTCATCTCTCTATACCTTCCTTCTCTTCCTGTTCCCGGAATACCTGGCACTAAACACCTATACGCCTCCAAGCCAGGCTGTACTTCAACACCTGGGAAAAACTTCCTCAGAACTTGTAGCTGCACCAGTGGGATCTCTGGGAGCTTCGCTGTTCTTTTATCTTTCTAATTTTTATTCATTCATTCTTTTCTTTTCTTTTTCTTCTTCTTCCCTTTTTTGTTTTTCTCCATTTCATAGTCTCTCATCTCTACACTCCAACGGCAAGCTCCCCTAGCACTCTTTTTTGTTTCTATGTTTTTGGCTCCTGTTCCTCTCTCCTCTCTCCCATACCCATCTTAGCTCCACACATCACAATCTCCCCCCTCCATCCTGGTACCTTCACCGCGTGCTTAACATCACACCACCAAACAGCACAGCTACGGCCTACTGGAATCTGCCGTGCACTGATTACTGACCCACCCTGATGGTTGTAGTAAGTGCCACAAACAACTCATCCCAGCAACCCCTCTTCAGCTAGACTTGCCCTGCTGTAGCATATCTAAGCAACTGACCCTGCCAATTGGAGAAGGAGGCGAAAAGTATCGTGCCCACAGACAAACAACAAAGAACACACAGCCCACCTGCTCAGACATAGACAAATTTAAAAAAAAGGACGAAACAAACAAATCTACACTCAACAAATGAGAAAAACAATTACTGAATGCCCTGAAGACAGAAGACAATATCAAAACATTTACATAAACAGGACAGGATGGTTCCAGTAGGTGTCCAAAATGAAACACCAGATGACTTTCCAGTAGAAGAAAAGGCACTACAACTACCTAATAGGGAATTTAAATCTCTAATATTCAGAATTATCCAAGAGTTGAAGCAAAAAGCAGAGAAAAATGAGGAAAAAAGACAAATTCATGGAAAAGGCAGACAAATTTATGGAAAACACAGACACAAAATGGAAGAATTCATGAAAATAATGCAGGAACAAAACGCCAAAATAAATTCACAACTATAAATTATACAAAAATAACAATTAGAAATCCAAAAGATAAACAATAAGATTTCAGAAATGAACAGTGTCATAGAAGGGCTGAGGAGCAGATTTGAAATGGTGGAAGACAGGATCAGTGGAATTGAAGACAAACACTTGGATACAACTCTGTTTGAGGAAAACTCAGAAAAAAGAACAAAGAAAAATGAAGAGACACTGAGACTTATGTGGGATACAACCAAAAGCAAAAATCTGCAATTGATCAGAGTTTCAGAACAGGGAGAAAACATAAAACACAAAGAGGATCATTGAAGAACTGCTGACAGAAAACTTCCCCAATATCATGAAAGATGAAAAGCTGGCCATCCAAGAAGTGCAACGAACCCCATATAGGACATACCCCAAAAGAAAATCACCACGGCATATCATAATCACACTAACCAAAACCAAAGACAAACAAAGAATCCTGAGAGCAGCTCATGAAAAACAAGAAGTCACATACATAGGAGAAACAGTAAGACTAAGCTCAGATTA